CCACTGCCATAACCCCTTTCTCCTTCTCTGTATATTTCAGTAGTCCCTTCTGTATTAAGTCCTGCACACAATTTCTGAAAGTTACACAATTGTTGGTAGAATGTCTAAAAGTATTATGTCATTTATAATATTCTTTTCCAACTCTGTCTTGTTCTTTTGGAATTACATGCCCATGGGACAATGTTAAAAATTTATTAGCCAATAACTCATCAAAAATGGCATCAGCTTTAGACAAATCAAAAGAATACTACCTAAATGTAGGGTTTGTATTTCTTTTGGCTAGCTGAGTTGCTAGCATGTTCACTGGTTTGTCTACTTTCCTCAAAGTCCCACAAACCACTAGTGCTTTGCCAACCACTAGAGCCACATCCACATCAATTTCTATTTCTACATCAACCTCTTGGAAATAAGTCCCACAAGAGTTTGCATTCCTATGTCTTTTCTCTGTAAGTATTGATTCATATCTTGTTGCCCTAGATGACAACTCAAACAAGTCTCTAAACTCCATCCCTTCAAACTTCTTTCTCAACTCAAATTCCAGCCCATTTTGAGCCATTCTCACAATTTCAACCTCAGGTATGTACATTTGACACCTGTTTTTTGCTCTCTTAAATCTATCAATAAATTGTTCTGCACTCTCAGAGAACTTCTGCCTCATTTCAGACAAATCAACTAGAGTTACTACTTCAGGCTCAGTTCTATAAAATTGGGCATGAAACTGGCTCCTCATCTCTATCAAAGTATGAACTGAATTAGTAGGTAAATTAATGAACCATGTGAAAGCAGTCCTAGACAAAGAATGTGGAAATAACCTCATTTTAAGTATGTCATTATTTCCTACTTCTCTACATTGTAAAGTAAACTTTCCTATGTATTCAATTATTGACTGGTTTTCCTCACCATGAAACAAGGAAAACTCAGGTACCCTGTAGTTCCTAGGAAAAAGTTCCTCATCTACCCATTGGGGGTATGGGTTCCTAAATCAAGGCCTTTCAGGCCTTCTTATCCGTGGACCATAAAAGTCTTTAACAATTTGGATAATCTGGTCTCTTTGAAAATTTTCACCATGATTAACAACATTTTGCCCCCATGCCCATAGTTATATTCAAAAGGTTCATGTCTGTCGACATGTAAAGGGGGTGCTGGACCTCTTGGCCTTGAGCCATTATCAAATGGTTCATGATGCATGTTAGGCCTATGCATTTCAGGATATGCACCCATATTCCCACAATTATTTCCCCATTAGTGTCCATAACCCATATTAGGAATCTCCCTATACCCAACATTTTGATTTCAAACCCTCGATTATAGTTTTTAGGATAACCATTAAATTCTGTGTTAAACAAATCTCTGTCTTCCACACCCTTTTGACCATATAATGGTTTAGAAAAAACATTTGACCCAAGTTATCCCATAGGCCAATTTCCTTGAATTTTAACATTTGGTGTTTGAAATACCTCATGTATTCTTTCCTCTACAGTTGGGTTTCTGTAAAGGACATTGGTTTGCCAATAGACTAGTGTGGTACACCAATTGGTAGCAACGTGTGTGTTCTTGAAGACACCTTTTGTGCCTTTACTTCACTTTGGCTTGCATACTCCATCGATGGAGCTTTCAACACCCTTCTTAGTTCCCCTAGAAGGATCTAGTTCTCCTCCAGTGACTGGTTTGCTAGTGCATTCCTTCTCTGAGCCGCCAAGACCCCTGTTGGAATTTTGGCATGGCACTTGTCTGGCATTCTGTACTCACTGCTTGGCCGCCATTTGGCCTTTCTGGGCCACTACTTGGCCTACATGTTGAGCACCACCATCATCAGCCAAGACCAAGTCCTGGTCCAACTCTTCTTCCTTAAACTCAGTAGGCCTTTTTTCAGCATGCTGATCAACCTGGTTTCTTTGCCTTCACTATTTTTTTTCCTTCTAAATTATGCAAGAATGTCCCATTGGGCGTGCCAAAAATTGTTAGTAAAAATTATGCTAGGTCTAGATCGACAGCAACCAAACAATAATTTAAACTGAATAACTTAAACCAAAATAATCAAACAGCTGTGGTTTCAGTTCTAATGCCTCAAAAGAATGAGGATTTCTTTGGATCAATGGCAACAAAGCAAACAAGAAGAAATAACACACTTGCTTTATCAATCAATGGTAACAAGGTAGATTGAACAAAAAGGAATCAACTTCAAATTATTGTATCAACGGATGATAACAAGGCAGATTAAACATACAAAAGCAACTTCAAACTAAAATTACTCATGTTCATTCAATGAGTACAAATTACAGTAAAAGAAACTACTCCTAAGTTACTCCTAAATTAAAATCTGGACTACTCCTTAGTCTAAAAAAAGCTAAGTAGTTATGTTGTTCTAGATCTCCCTCTTCTGCAAACTTCTGACCTCTTATAGCTCTTCTTTTCCACGACCCCATAATCTTCTCAATCTGCAATTGTTGTTGTGTAACTGTCACAGCTGAACTATCACTTCTTAGTCTTCAAACCACAACATGCTTTCACTTCCACCTGTCGAACTTCATTCCTTTTAAGTTAACATGTGTCCCTGAGTTCTTCTATCCATCGTTCGATAAAAAAAGACTTCCACTTCGTTCATGCTTTCTTTTGAAGGCAACCCACTAACTCCATGACCATATTGCCAGTAATTGTTCTACCTTCCAAGCTAGCCCCACATGCAAACCTCACTTCTAGTTAATGGTCTCTGTCTTCTGATGCTAAACATTTACTCTGGACTTGGCCATGTGTCCCCATTGATGGATCACCTGTTGACAGGGTTTGGCAAAAATAGGTGCAAACAATACCTTATAAGTAAAAAAAAAAAAACATAATTTTATACTTTTTGAATCATAATTAAAAAAAAAAATCATAATCAATTCTAAAGAAAAAAAAAATGACATATGCATGTGGCAAGGGTGTTTATGGTAGAATCCTACTGAATAAAAAATCAAATTCACAACTGCTATTCACAATGGGAAATTCTATTTCCACACACCACATTGTCTCTGTGCATATTTTTTCTCACTCCACACACTTAGTAATTTGATTCTTAGTTATTTATCTCAGTCCCACACTCCACATTCAAAATATACCCATTTAATAAAAAATGTGTGCACACCCTTATATTAGCCCACACAAATTCCCAAAATAGCCCTCCCTTTAACTTGCACATCCCGCCTTCCACGGTGCATGGTCCAGCCTCTCCATCATCGTCCCGCCTCTCCATCTCCGACAGGCATTCTTCATTAGCCTGTAGCCTCCAGCCTCCTCTGTTAAAGAATGGCATTGAAGAAGATCGACAGGCATCTCTGGCAGCCATTCTTCGGCCGTAAATTACTTATAAGGTGAGTAAATATTGCTCATCATTATATAAAATAACATGCAATCTAGGTTAGTTTTTTTCCATTTTCGACAGTCGTTCGTAGTTGGCACACATTGAGACGAAAAACAACCATTCGGTATTGGTTTGCCGAATCATTTTAACCCATTCGAAAACCAACAATCGAATTACTTTAGACCATTCGATACTATACTTCCAAATTTTAAGTTTTAATTCGGTACTGTACTTCCTAAACTATTATTCATATTCAATTGTTGTTTTCCGTATACTGTCCATGTATTCGGCACTGGTTTGACGAATGGTGATCGCAAATAGAAATTACGTAAAACAATTTCTTAGCAAAAAAAAGTTACCTTTCCGTCGCTGTATTGGTTGTTTTGCATATCCTCCTGATTTTCTGAATTGTTTGGCAAATCTTCCATTAAGTTTTGTTTGACAAACAATGGTAACCTAATGAGTGAACATTGGAAGAATGTTAGCAATGGTGTCTAGTGTGTGAGAAATAATGGAGGAAGGAGGTAGGCAATGGAGTGTGCGAGAAAGAATGAATGAAGAAGGTAGTAATAGAGAGTGTGGAAAAGAGTGGAGTGCGTAAGAATGAGTGTGAATAACGTAGGTAATGGCCAGTGAATGTGCACAGAGAGCTTTTACAAGAAAAAGATGTGTACAGAGATCTCTATTTTGGATGTTTAAGTGTGTGGATTGATGTATATTTTGATCATTTTATTTGAGAATAAATTTGTAATAAAAATAAAATTCATTAACACTATGTTTGGATTGAGTGATTTGGAGAGAAAAGAAAAGAATTAGAGAGATATGTATTTCTTTTACTTGTTTGGATAATTTAAGTGCAAAGAAATGGGGAGAAATGAAGAGAAATAGGGAGAAATCCTTTTCTTTTATAACCCTCATTTTCAATCTTTCCAAAGTGGAAAGATTGGGAGAGAAAAGAAACTAAAAAATTCTTATATTTTTATAATACTAATTTTGTCCTTATAAAAATAAAAGAAATAAAATGATTGACACCTATGTCCTCAATATAAAAAGGTTATTTTGGTAATATAACATAAAATATTTTATTTTATTTTCTCTTATGAAATCTAACCAAATAAGAAGAAGAGAAATTACAATCATTTATTTTCTTTTATTTCTTACTTATCCAAACAAGAAGGAGAGAAATCACAATTATTTCATTTCATTTCATTTCTTTTCTCTTATAGCTTAAGTAATCATTTCTTTTATTTTTTCTCTTACGTTTCCAAACATAGTATAAGTATATGCACATAGATAATGTGCAAGGTGGAAATAGAGGGTGTCTTTGGTTTGTTTTTGATAGAGTGATTTTCAAAAAAAAAATTAGGAAAGAGTTTAGAAATTTTTTTGGTTTGTTTGCTTGTATATTTTGAAAGTAGTTTTGAAATTTAGGATGATTTGATATTTTGTTATAATTAAATAGATGTGTGTGAGAGAAAAATAATTAAAAATGAGAGAGGAAAAATAAAAAATGATTGATTGAAATATAAGAGGAAGAAAGTGATTTTGAATTTTTTTTTTTTTTTCTTTTTGAAAAAAATCACAAACCAAACAAAAATTTGGAAATTTTTTTTTCGAAGACGACCATCCCAAATCCATTCACAACAGATAAAAAAGAAGAGTGGATAATTAAAGTGGAGAAAACGAGAGACGATATAAGAGGGAGGAGGCGGTGGTTTTATTTTGGGGTGGGCTTTCCTTTCCAATTAAAAGTGAGCAGTAGGAATAGCAGTTGTGCTGCTTGGTGGTGGTGGTGGTGGTGGTGGTGGTGGGCTATCTCATATATCATATATAAATATATATATATATGGCTATGGCTGCCGTATCTCATCATCATCCTCAGGCCGGCCACCTCCTCCTCCTAGTCAGTGGCGGTGGGTTTCGTAATAATAATATCTCCTACTCTAGTACTACTTCTACTACCAGGCGTACGCCTTCTCTCAATTTTCGATCCAAACCCAAATGGTTTTCTTCTCCTATCAGGTACCCCCTAGCCACTCTTGTTCTATCTTTCTGTATCTCTCTGTTTTGTTTGTTTTGTTTTGTTTTGTTTTTTATTTTTCTGTGGATGAATGGGTAAATAGAACTTTTATTTATTTATTGTTATTTATAATTAAGTCACAGTCTGTCTGAACTACAAATACCAAATAAAATTCCTCAAAGAAGGAAGGACTGCAACTATACATTTGCTAAGGGAATGTGAAAGCTACTTGGATTGGATCGATTGAATTTTGACATTTGCCCAAAAGCAAAGATTATCTATCTATCACCTATTGTTTCAGTAATTTTGTCTTCTTTATGTTTGATTTAGGACATGTTTGCATTTAGGAATGTGATTATTTCTCACGCCCCTCATTTTTTTTAAAAACATTAATTTCAGTACAAGTTTTACAATTCTAGGGTAAACTACCACTAGCTCCTAATAGTTGGTAAAATTGTTGCAAAAAGTAATTTTTTTGTGATAATTTTTTACATACGTCGCTAAAAATTGACAATTAGTGACTTTTTTTTTATGATTTTTATAAATTGTCGCTAAAACTTACAATTAGTGACTTTTTTATGATAAATTTTTCTCATAAGACCTATTAGATAATAAGTCCACTTATTAGGATTTATACGTAAGTACCCTTACATTTTCTAATGGGTTAAGGAAAATCCAATATCCTGTTGGTCTCACCTATTTTATTTATAACACATGGGGATAGATAGTTTTTGAAATTTAGATTTGGAAAACCTAGAAAATCCTTACAAGGTTTTAACACAAAATTCCATAGTTTGATTTCTATATAAAGAAAATCATTAAGTTGCTGCATTTCTTATAATGTAAGATGTCAAAGGCCTCATGATCTCAATGCGGCCTTTTGTCCCATCAGGCATGCATTCATCACGCCTAAGCATACATAATCTCAATAGATGAAGTTCAAAGTCAAGTATTACCTATTGAGATTTTAAAAAAAACCGTGATAGCTACGCCAACTCATCTGTTGGCTTTTTATAATAATAGCATAGTATTATATATATATACAAACAAATATAACTTAAATAGGACCATTTGAAATTCAAATTGATGTGTCGGCTGTTTATTGGATGTCGGTAAAAGTTATTCTTCACGGTTCATCCGTGAATAATCCAATCCCTTAAATATTACGCCCAAGTCTGGACCAAATAAAAGTATTGCAATCTCTCAACAATGTACTAATAAGTTCACTACAAGTTATTACACATCTGACATAAAATTAGGTCTGCTTCAAAGAGTACCCGTTGTAAGGTTGGATTATTTAAGCTTCAAAATTGGGCATAAAATGACTCGCAACATAGTTGAGCTCTTCCTGCATCTAAGATAGTAAAAAGGGGTGAGTTCAAATCAACCGGTTCAGTAGAGAACACCTACAGTCAGCATGTATGTCAATGGTGACACTGACAAGTGTGAGTGAGCATGATTGCATAAATATATATGTACGAGTTGAATAACTAACAGTTTAGCAATGAACAAGGGTTTGTAGTAACACGAGAAAGTAAATGTCCAAACAACACATTACTATCTAAACATCAAGAGAGAGATGTGTGATGGTTTGGAGGGTTGAGAATCAGTTTAGACTGAGAGGGATCTAAAGAGAGTAAGTTTTGAAAGAAAGAAACCCAACCAAAAGTGTGTATGTAGAGGTGGGTCTCATGAGAAATTTGATTTTGGATAAAAAAAATACGACATACAGAAGTCGATCGGTCTGCAGAGCAGTCGACCACTTTGTAAACAGAAACAAGATCTTGTGAGGGTATCGACTGCGGATGATGGGCGACTGGCCGATTGACCACTCTAGGCAAAAACTGAATCCATGGTCCTCTACCCCACTAATCTAACCCAAATGGCCTTCTAAACTCAAGAAAGGACAAACTAAACTCAAAACTAATCAATCATCATGCAAGAAAAATCTTAGGATGACCTTAAATTTGAAATAAGATAAATAATGATTTGAATTAAATAAATAAAATAATTCGGGTTGTTTCATTCATCATATTGTGTGTAAAAAGAGAGAAGGGAAAAATGTTACTAGGCCTAGCTACCACAGTGGAGAAGGGAAACCGAACCACAAAGAAAGTCAAGCCCAGTAGAGCTCTATGCGTTCAGAGCTATGGCTTGCATAGGGTCGGTCTCCGATGAGATCCTATTGTATCTTTACAAGCAGATACACATGACTCCACTTTAGCATAAGGACAGACACGCTCTTAGGGTGAAAACAACCCTATTGAAATAGCCTAATCTACGATAGCGGAAACTGCTTTGATTCAATTGAAATGGAAGTTGGGAGTTCAGGAAGCTCGTTCCCCCGACCGGCCAAAGAGAGAATTTCTTTATTAGAGTAGTGCCCCAGGATACTCCCTAAGAGAAACTCGGCAATAGAAGAGGGTCATTATTCTGTGTTTTTTTTTGTTTTATTATCTTTTTTGGTGCTGAGGACAAGCCATTTGTCCCATTGTCAAGGCTTTTCGTTTTCATTTTGTTATTTTTATAACCTCTCCTGACACAAGCATCAAGATATAAATACATCTGCATCTCAATCCTGGCTTTTCGTTTTCATTTTGTTATTTTTATTACCTCCCCTGACACGAGCATCAAGATATAAATACATCCGTGTCTCAATCCCGGCCCATGCCCTTTTGAAAGGGAAGTAAGTATGTCAACATGAACTTAAGGAGAGGACGATTTTCTCCTTGAACAATGGGGGCATAGTTGGCAATCCATATTACGATTGAAAGACATACAGTAAACAATTAGAGATCTAATTGGAATACATAGAGCTGCCCTACCTCTCTTAATGATAATATTCTTTTTTCAAGTATTGAACAAAAACTACCTGAAAGCAGGCATTAATGAGGACCTATCCATTACGGGGTGCTAAATCGAACCTCCTTTGCTATCAAAGCCGATGTCTTCTAACCACTAGGCGAAAAGGACCATAAAGGGGGGTTAGAACAACTAGCTAAGGATTCATTCCTAAAAGCTCTTGAAACAACAGGAAGCCATAACCCCGAATGTAGGGTATGCAAGAAGGATAGATGCACCATGGGCCTGGATCACATATTTCTTTATATAGATAGATCAACCTGTATATTCATATTCATACCTCTCGAAGGTTGCAGGCAAGGCTGAACACATCCAGCTTCATTTACCCTATCTTTTGGTACACCACCAATCATCCCATACAGATATATTCTTACCATTGCCTACCCAGCCATTTTGTACCTTTTTTGAGGATTTACTATGTTTTTCTGGGCAAAGAAGAGGCTTTACATGATTCTGAAACTCCCTTATTCCTCTCTAACTCTTTCTTCTTTCTTCGACTATTTCTACTACTGCTTTCGTAGCCCAATGCCTTGTCAGGCAAGAATAACTCCTACCAACGAAGCTCTTCTTTCCTTTTTGGCTCTCTCCACAACTATCTCCTACATGGTCCCAGGAGCCTGAACCCCTGAGGGAGATTTGATTGATTGCCAAGAACAGGAATAGCCATCCCCCACGAACAAAGTAAAAGCAGTCAGAACAAGCAATACGAACCGAACGAAGAGAGGGAGGAGAGTCTTATATAAAGAACTAGAATCACTTTTCTTTAGGAATTGCTTCTTACCCTTATCTTTTTAGGTAAGGAATAGCCTTAGTCCCCTCGAGTCTCTGGGATTGGCATGTAATAGAAGGATTTGGTGAGCGTCGCGTGACAAAAGAAAGAAGAAAGGGAAGAAGGTCAAGACTTTTGCATGAAATATATATTTTTCCCCTAAACTAACTTCTACATTGAAAAGAACAAGGGATAATTTGGACACTTTCATTATTTGGTGTCCAAGTGAGAGAACAAATGGCCTTCTAGCTTCACTTCACATAAAAAAATGTAGATATGTGGGACACATGACCAAGAGAGAACGAAAGGGAAAATGTCAAATGTAGCCATTTTCTCCTTTGAAAATAGAGTTGAAAAAGAGAGGAGGAAACCAAGCCCGTCCTTTTTTTATTAATTCAAATTGTACATTCAAAAGAAGAAATCACTAACATATTTATTGTTGGAAGGTATTTGGGTAGGGTTAAGTCCTTATCCCCACTTGTGTAGTCCTTGCCGTTGGGCCAACATGTGTCTTGGTTTGTGTGTATCTGCTCTCTTCTAGCATAAAAAGTATATTATCTTAATTAAAACAAAAATTAGCATTGTTCCATAATTTTATTTTTCTTCATGTGTTTGGTTTTATTTGTTATTACTCTTAAATTTTTGACAGGTCTATTATACCTAGTGAAATTTACATTTAATTTGGTGTACCTTGTCATTATCACAGATGCCAATCAACTAGTACTGATGAACCAAAAACAAGGAATCTACTTGACAATGCAAGCAATCTCCTAACAAATTTTTTAAGTGGGGCAAACTTAGGATCTATGCCAGTTGCTGAAGGTGCGGTTTCTGATCTATTTGGTCGACCTCTTTTCTTGGCACTCTATGATTGGTTTTTAGAGGTACCCTATTCCACCCTTTTCCTATTTGGTCGACCTCTTTTCTTGGCACTCTATGATTGGTTTTTAGAGGTACCCTATTCCACCCTTTTCAAAAACCTACTCATAGATGGACGTTTGCTTGTGTGTATGCATTGCTTGGGTAAAAATGTACATGTCTAATATGCAGAATATATATATATATATATATTTGATAAATCTAATATGCAGAATATTTTAGTTAATTGCTATGTTATTATAGCCTTCTTTTTGTATGCATCTTTTATTTATTTTTTATTCCCCTGATAGTTTTGGGCCCTCGAAGTTCTATTTCTTCTTCTACTCTTTTTTGGGGTTGATATAGTATACTTATTGAGAAAATGATTACTTGGCAGCATGGTTCGGTGTATAAACTTGCTTTTGGACCAAAAGCATTTGTTGTTGTATCAGATCCTATTGTTGTGAGACATATCCTTCGTGAAAATGCATTTTCTTATGACAAGGTATCCAATACTGCCTTTGATTTCTTTTATCTCTTTCTCTCTGTAGAGTCTGTACACATTTTCTTTTAACTTTATTCTCATGTGTATGTTTAATCTATTAATGCTTATGTTGTGCATTTCCATTGGTTTATTTTTGTTTCCATCGAAATGGATGAAACATTTCTGTTTCCTAAGAGACCAAAACGAAACACTAAAATAACAAAATTCTAGTGTTTTCAGTTTTCACCAAAAGACAACAAGGTGAGAGTGGAAGCGGTCTAGAGCTGGGGACAGAAAAAGATAGAGAGTAATCGTGGTAGTCTATAGGCTAGGAGTACCAAGTCGTCTTCTTTATATCTGGCGCATGCCCTACTATTTTTATAAGGGGGATCAAGTCATGAGGCCAACCACCTGAGAATACTGAGTGGCATGCCCTAATGGAATAAAGAATAGGTGGATTCCCCCTTCTGGCTACTGACTAATGATAACAGTCACACTTGGGAATACTTGAGCCTTCGGAGGTTGTGACGACTTACTGATTTGTTGCTCTATCACATCATCATGGCCTCTAGAGATATATCTTCATGTGGAGATCTCTCTTTTTCTTAAGACAACGAGTGAGAATGAGATGAGGTATATTGACGAATCCTCTAGCCACCAAGCCAGAAGACCCTAGTGATCCCACATGAGAGTCATGAGGTTGCTTGGGTGTCTCATGATCGTGGCACCAAGCCTGAGGGTGTTCCTAGGTCTTACTCTCAGACCTTGGCTAATACAAGGGTATTAGGGTTAGGGTGCTTTTGAAGAACTAGTATAGATAATAGGAAATGTGCTCTTCGTTGGAAAACTGCATTTTTTTTGGTATGAGACAAGTTATTTTTAACTTATAATCGCTCGCACTATTCACTTACCCTTTGAATTTATTTTTCTTTCTTCAAGTTTTATTTCTAAGAAATTCTCTTTTAACCCCACCCCGCCTACAATTAAAAAAAATAACCTAAATAATTAAAATTAAAAATACTAATAAGGAATATGAGAAGGGGAAAAAATGAAAAGTGAAAAGCTACATAGACCATGCTAATGTACATTCTTCGCTGAGGGTATCTTATTTGATACATCAATTATTGAGTTCTTGATGAAGGTGGTTAAGTTTTCTAACAAATTTATTTCTTTCAGCTTGTATTTTGTTTGCCTTCATATCATTGCAATTTCACATTACATATGTTGGATAAGAAAATTTCAATGTATATATGATTTAAGGGTCATGCTAAAGACAACCCAATGGGTTGCCATTAAAGTGAGGAAAATGCCAAAAAGGTGTATTTTTTACACTTTGTAAAGCACTTTTACATATTTTAAAACAATTTCCACACATCCCATGCAATTTTCTCATGGCCATCGTGGTAAATGACAACCCTTTGGGTGGTTAGCAGCATTTTCCCATGATTTAGTTGCTACTAGAAGATATCATCATAAATACAATTTTTTATCCAATTAATTTTTCTTGAACTAGGGAGTCCTTGCTGATATTCTAGAACCAATAATGGGAAAAGGGCTTATACCTGCTGATCTCAATACTTGGAAGCAGAGGAGACGAGGTGAGTATATGCTATCTATTTAGGCTATGCATTCACCACTAGCTCTCAACAAATACAATCATTGATATGATATTTATGATGGAATATATTTTAGATGCAAAATGATTTGTATTGCATTTAGCTGAATATATCACGATTTATATCCCATGTTCAAAATATGGTAAATTGCACAATAAAGATATGGGCATACTTTTTTTTTTTGGGTTTTTTTGATAAATAAGATATGGGCATACTTTGATTGCTTTTTAGTATCTAAGAAGTACGAACAAGGACATGAGACATGGCATGGACACACCTTAGTTGCATGTGTTACACGGTCTTTGGTAGAATTCACCCCAAAAGTTAGCTATTAAGGTGAGGGTGCCCTCACACTTATATGCTTAATATTACTTTAGTATTTAGGCGATGTAGGACTTCGCTTCACACCCTCCTTCACGCCTAGCGGGCTCACTCGGCAGCACCTACGGCGTGCAAGCGAAGGACACGCACCTACTCATCCCTGAGTACTCCGGCTTTGATACTATGTAAGATTTTTGAATGGTTTTGTATATTCAATTGCGGATTCTTTACAAAGAGCACATCAATATATATAACCCTAAACCTTTGACTGAAAGAGGAAATACAATCAAGGTGGAATATTTACACCACCTCAATCATGCCTAATTCCTAAAATAGAAGATATACAATACATACAATATATTTTCACACCCCTGCTCAAACTTAAGGTGTTTTAGCAAAAAACACTGAGAGTTTGTCAAGAAGAAACCGACACCGAGTAGTAGTGTGAGTCTTGGTAAAAAAGTCAGCAAGTTGCAGAGCCAAAGAGACGAAAGGAAGCAAGATAGAGCTAGACTACAAGTGTTGATGGACAAAATGACAATCAATCTCAATGTGCTTCTTGGGCTCATGAAAGATAGTGTTATGGGCAATCTGAATAGCATTGTAGTTGTCATAGTAGAAAGAGGTTAGAGAAGATTGAGGGACACCCAAACCACACAAGAGACAATGAAGCCAAACAACCTCAGCAGTGGCATGGGCCATAGTACTAAAGTAAATTAAGCATATAAGCGAGAGGGCGCACCCTCACTGTAATAGCTAGCTTTTGGGGTGAGTTCTACTTAAGACTATGTAACAGCATGAACAATATAGAAGTTTCTAATATTGGGAGCACCTATGGAAGCGTGTATATATTTTGCATATTAAACATATAAATATATTCTAGTAATTTTTTTCCTGCTTATGTATTAAAATGTGAATAAATAATTGTTGTCAACTACAAATTGTCTTTGTTAAGTATAAATAAATATTATGTAAATACAAAATACTAAAAAGTTTGAGTTATTTATTTATTTATTTTTGTTTATTTGAGAGGTTCTATCTCAGTTTGAAGCGAGTTTCTTACAAGTTTTTTACTTAGAAGCATAAAGTCGAGTTTCTGAATAAGAAACATTACCCAGTAGAAGTTTCTAGCTACTAAGGGACACGCAGATACGATAGTTTTAAAAAAATGCAGGATACCTACGACAAGTGGGAAACATGCACAAAATAAATAGTTATTTATATTATTTTTGATATGACTATATCATTTGAAGCTGGGGGAAAAAAACAAAAGAAGCAACATAACACTATTTTTTATAAATCTAGATTGTTTTCCTTTTATCATTGTATCTTAAGATTTTCGAACTTATAATTAATCTCATATGTGTAATTAATGGACATGTGTCCGCCATGTGTCTTTATCTGAAAAAAATAAAAAATAAGAATAGAACACTGTTGGACAAGTGTTTGACATGTGTTGGGAGGTGTTTGACAAGTGTCAGTATCTGACACGAACACGACATGACGTGGAGACACCACCTCCTGAAAAGTGTCCATTCTTCTTTGTATAATATGTTTCAAATATTCATCATGATCAAAAGAAAATTTACTTTTGCTTCTTATACCCCACAAACAATCTATCTTGGTACCATTTTGTCTCAAACATTGTTATATTATATATGCTCTTCACATTAGACAGATCCTGAATTGTAGTTTGTAAGGCAGAAAAGAATCTTCATTACAGGAAACTTTCTTGAAATTCATGTTTTGTAAGTAACTGTTTGAAATTTAAATGGCGTGGTTATTCACAACAATAAATGGTAGATATTAAAGATAAATATGCTGTTTAACTTTTGCAACTATATATTTGCTGTTTTTCTTTTGAGTGTATTCTATTTGAAATATTTAAAACGGTATTTCTATACTGGAATAGAATCTGCACTTCATTTATCAATCCAATGTTGTGGAGTATCATATTCCAAATATATGTCTCCTCAATAACATAATTTTCACTATTAGATCTTTTGACATTTTTTGGTGCCTGAGTTTTTATTGCCAAAAAAATGGAGATATTACAATGAAGCTCCAAACACGTACCCAGAGGTACACACTGGAGGGCACACATGCTTAAAAGAGAGAATGCACAAACCTAGCATATTGAAAAATAACCCTCTCACAGTCCGAGAGACTAAACCATCATAAAAACACATGGATACAAAGAAAAATACGAAGAAAGCAAGCAATCCACCAAATCAGCCATGTAGCAACAGACCTAAAGCAGACCTCGACACAAATACCACACATGCACTTCAAAATCAGTCTCATTAAAGTAATGACATGTAGCTCAAGAGCAGAAAAACAAAAAGGGGCTCAAGAACAACCAATCCTGCCTCTTGCACTCAAAACCGCCACGTGGCAACCGAAGGGCAAATCCCACCCAAACACAAAAATCATTTAAGATAAAAACACATTTGCATTCTGGATTTGAATCCAGCCAGCGTGTAGGTGGGGCAATCACCCGGATCAACTGCACTCAACCAGAAGTGATGTTCCTAGTCGTGTGACACAACTTCTCTCCCTCAATAGCAGCACCAAAAATAAATAAATAAATAAATAAATTTAAAAAATAAATTCCACACAAAAAGAAAACACCGAGCCAAAACCTGGACAGTTACCAACTGAATACGTAGATGAAGTTTTGACATTTAGGTTCATTCGCAGATAAAAACCAAGAATGGAAAAGTATTAAGACAGCTTCATTGTGGGTGCTTATACACTTTATGGACTGTGCACTAGGATCTCTGTAATCTGTATGGAATTCCATGCCCATATGATCCTTACAGTCCCTAAGATTCATGTGTCATTCTTGTCATTCCCAGTTGTGTCTGAATTTGGTTCATGACTAGGGAGAAAATTAAGGAAAAGTTGATAAAAAGGAAGGAATTGGAAAAAGAAGAAGAAAGAAAAGAGGAACAACAAGTGCTTAATCTCCCGTTTGATTATATCAATTGTGCTGATATCTTGCATGAGTTGCTAAATTTAAGAATACGAGAGAAATAAGAACAAAAGTAAAGAATGAGTGCGCTTTAGATTGGGTTTGCTTTCTTTATTTTAAAGGGATGCATGAGTACATGTGTTCTCACTTGTATTTCTTCTTAATTCAGTTATTTCCCACTCAGTCAGTTGTTTTAGTCATGTTTAAATATCTTTCTCCTACATTGCCACCTACATTGAAGAAGAGAGACTAAAATTGTTTCCCTACGAAAACTGTCTGTTGGACAAACCCTATGATTCACTTAATATGATAGATACTATGGATGATTGCTATATTTGCTAAGGTTTCATTTCATTATTGCCTCCTTTTGATCTCACTTTGTTGCTCTTTTGACCTGCATTATTTCGTAATAGTGCTGATTGACTACATCTGAACTTTTAACCCCTTTTTTATCCAATTGGGAAGCCTTCAAATTGAATATTTAGCATTTACTGTCCAATGTATTCTGGGTTGTACACACAACTGTAAATTCCAAAGCTGTTTTATGGTAATTTTCAACAAAATCTGTGATTCTTTAATTCTACAGCAAGATTTGTTTGACTTGAGGAATTCAAACATGCAGCAATCTTAAACAATTTCCTAGTTTTATCATCATTGTCATTTTTCTTTATCACATTTTTCCTGTTTGTCATTATGTGTAGTATGAGTTTGACCTATTCTTTCTAGAATCTATTTATCTTAAAGAAAAAGTTTAATTAGCACAACTCCTAGAAACTTTGTAGCTCTTTTCTTAGTTTTAATACATACGTAAATATGTATATATGATTGATGAAGAGACAAGAAGAAAGAAGGACAAAGATAGAAAGCGTAATATAGGAATAGGATTTTGGTATGAGATTTTCAGCTCATCTCTACACCCATGTATTTGTATTAAATAGAGTCTAACAAATTACAATAATAACCTCATTTCTAAAATAACAATAAACTCAACATTTCCCTCAAGTTGGTGCATAGATGCCTTTCATTCCCAACTAATATATAGTAAGGCATTAAGTAAAAACATATGCAAGCTAAACCAAACCAAATTAAGCCTTGTGTCCCAATCAAGTGGAGTTGGGTAGATTGATCATTTTTCACAATTTTGCTTTGTTAAGGGTTATATGTTTAGTTAAATTAAATAAATTTATATCATTTTTTACTACCGCATCCCATGTTAGTTTAGGTCTTCCCCTCCTAACATTTCCATTTATGGTGATCATGTCACTCTTTCTTACTAGTGCACCTGTTGTATATGGACAAACCATCTTAGCTTATTTTCAAATGTAGGTGCATCTATTTCATGAATGCATCTGTTGAATATGGCAACTTTATTATTTATGTTATATTCTCAACAAGCCCCTTCACTTGTGGTCGGGCTCTCCTCCATAAGCAAGCCACACACGTGCAAGTAATTTTTTGATTATTGAGTAGGCGGTGAGATTCGAACACATGATCTATTGCCTGTTTTGATACCATGTTAATGTTGAAAAGAGAGAGTTTAGACAAGAAAGGGAGCTTAGTCACTTGGTTAGTTCCTCCAACTATATATATATAACAAGTGTTACAATGACATAAATACCCTTAACAGTTGTCACATGTTTTATGATTTTGATGATAATGTCGTTTATTCTTTTCTTATGATTTAGGTTCTTTCTTCGATTCAAAATGATGTTCTGAAATTTTTTGAACTCTTTGCTAGCTGTACCAATTTCAGTTTCATTATTGAAATATGTGAAAGCTTTTAATCACCACTCCTTGTAGCATGATTTGTGTCTTGGTGCCTTGAGTGGATAGTCAAGCTTTTCATTTTCCCTATACCAGGTAAAGAAAATAATTGAAGTTCTTGAAGATTTGAAATGATAAAAAAATAAAATAAAATAAGGAAAAATAATAGAAGGAGAAGAAAAAAGTGAAATCTCTTAAAAGGGAGGATGAAATGAAAAAGAAGTGAATGTCCTTAGTGTTAGAAATAGTGTGTTAGTCATCATTCTGATAAAAAGGAATTATAAGTATAGCATATGGTTATTGTGGGTTTTGAATAAATACAACTTCTATATGTCACTTCTTATGTGCTCAGGTTCTTGAGTGCACTTACTTTGGTTGTTGGTTGTTACCTTTTGGAGCTTTTGTTTCTCAAGATTGACATTTTTATATGGTTAACATGTTATTTGCAGTTATTGCTCCTGGATTTCATGCCTTGTACTTGGAATCTATGGTCAAAATATTTACAAATTGTTCTGGAAGAACAATATTGAAATTTGAGGAGCTTCTGGAAAGGGAGGGCTTGAATGGAGGGAAGGAAATTGAGTTGGATCTTGAAGAAGAATTTTCAAGTTTGGCACTTGATATTATAGGGCTTAGTGTTTTCAACTATGACTTTGGTTCGGTCACAAAAGAGTCCCCTATTATTAAGGTTTGATTATTGAACATAGTCTTTTGGTGCATGTTTACATTTTACTTTGATTTTATATTTGCTTGTTTGTTCTGTATTGTGTCTGCATCCCATCCCATGAATGTGCATTTTTATCCCCTAGAGGCTAGAATTATCTTTCTCTTGGGGTTTTTTTTTGTATTTGTTGTCTGATAAGCTGTTGATGACAAGAAGCCTCTCATTTAATAAGAAAATTGCTTTCATAATCATGTATTGGTAATTAATGGTTACTTTCTCATACTCTCTTCACTAATGTTCCTTCCAAATAAGATCTTTATTTATATTGTCTTTTTCTGATGCATATAAATATATAATTTTTTTTTGTTCCATGTTTACATGCAAAGGATCAATTGTACTCATGTCAAGTTTATGGATTTATCTTGTACTTCGTTCTTGTTTTTGGAAAAAGAGGGTTAGGTTCATTATGTTATCATCTAATTTTACACTTCTTTTGGAAACCATTATCAACATGAAGCGTGGCAAATGCCTAATGCATGAGATTTTTTTAGAAGGCATAGTGATGTAGAACAACTTTATGAAACTTGGTCCAAAATTGCCTATTAGTGGACTTTGTGGAGTGTTTTGGTTATAGAAAGTTTGTAAGTTTAGCATTCTAAGAGAGAAGAAAGTTTCAATGATTTTAAGTTCCTAATGAATGATATTTTTTTTAGAAGGTGCAGTGATGTAGGACAACGGTAGGAAACTTGGTCCAAGATTGCCTATGAGTGGACTTTGTGGTAGGTTTTGTTATAGAAAGCGTCTAAATTTAGCATTCTAAGAGAGAGAAGAAAGTTTCAATGGTTTTTAGATGGAAAAGTTTGTTTGGGCTTGATTTTCAACAAGTTGCTTGTTTCAGGATTTTCGGAATTCGTGGAATCCTCGACAACAATTATTTTGTAGTGTTGTAGTTTGGATGTAGTGGCCAAAAGGTGGGGAACAATTGTGAACTTGATTGGCTGGGTTTAGGGCCTGAAAATGGAGTTTAAGAATAGAACCTAATCATGTGTGCATAGAACAGATTGTATTCTTTTTTTTTAGTTGCTAGAAATTTCTTATTCCTATGGTTGTCCAGTTTTCAAAATCAGATTTGAGTTTTCGTATTAATTTGTACTTTTTTGTATTTATTGAATTTTTTGCAGATTTCTTCACAAATATTTTACTTTTTGAGTACATCTAGATATAGATAGCATAAGAGGCATTTCTCTTAAGCAAAGTTCATCAACACAAAGTGGAATAAATGGCTTTGAAGGTAGCATAAGAGGCATTTCTCGGAAGCAAAGTTCATTCAACAACCATGTAACTTCAATGTCATGACTCACCAACATAATTTTCATGTAATGTAGAAAAGAGATAGAAGGTGGGATTGAAACCACTTCCTTCATGGGAAGCCATGTGAGAGCAAAACTTGCCTCATCTACGATACTTTCTTCATCTTCAAGTACACCTTCACTCTCTACAAGAAGGTCGTCTTCATCATCATAGGTGTCAAAAATTGGAACGCCTTCATGTTCACAAACATCAACTTCCTCATAAGCCAATGCCTCACCATCGTCATCAAAGATGACAACATGTTGATCATAGTCGTGTTTCTCATCTTGATCAAGGATGGAAAATCTTCATCACAAATTGGAAGAGCTTCACAATTATCCTCCATGTCTTCTTCACCAAAGATAGAAGCTTCTTCCTCATCATTTATTGGTTCAACCACCTTGCCACTAAAGAGCATCTTATGATGACATCTGTCATCAAAAATCTCTTGCACTCCAACACTAGTTGAGTAACCGACTTGGACATAGTCATAGGATGGTTTTCCGATTGCAAAGTCACTTTGGTATTGATGTCCGGAACCTGAAATGCCCATCTTTTGTTGCTTCTCAACCAACAAAGGTGGCATGTGATTAGAAAGGCAAGAAGTGCTCCTTGAGCTTCCTTTCCTTCTTCCTCCACTCTCTAACCTTTTCTTGGCCTACCAACTTGTAATCGGAGGTATGACCTTTGATGCTTTGAAAGACCAATTTCACCTTCCTTGCTTCCAGTACATCATGACACTCCAAATGATCCTCAATTGTCTTCAATCATTCCTTGAACACATCCGAATTGTAGCTTCCATGAAATTCAAGAAACTCTAAATCCTTTACGGTGTCATTCTATTTAGAATCAAACCCATGTGAATGTGCTCCACCCCTATGCGAAGCACCGAATGAATATCAAGTTGATGATCCTTGGAACCATTACTACCTTTGGTAGGATGTAGGAGACGTTGCACCGTCTCGGTTAAAGCAGGAATTTGCCTTCTCATCTCAATCATTTCATCTCTTAGATACGGAACTCCATTATCCCTTCCAACCGGTAGATTGACCTCGGCATCATCACCCAAATCCGCGGCATAAGCCCTACCATGACCACCCCTTCGACCTCGACCTCGTTGAGCTATTGACATCCCCAAATGTTCAAGTCACAATAATCACAAACCCAATTGGACAACAACAAACAACAATGTACCAATCACACATTGTGAACCAGTGGAATGAACACAACAAATCAAATCTAGATATGCACGACCCACCCAATTTCCAAGTCAAGAATCAAGTTGCTGAAATTGACTTGAAATAAAGAATTGAATCAAAGAAGTTGAATCACTTACCAGATGGTCGAAGAATAACCCAGGAGAAGCTTTGATCATCTAGATGTTAAAATCAATTATGGAAGCCAAGCTTCGATCAACTCAGATTGAAAGAATAGTGTCACAATCCCACAACGAAGTCACGAATCCAAATTCGAGCCGTGACCTAAGGTCACAGGTTGATTTCGAACTCAAGTCAGAGAGTTGAAGGTTGATTTCGAACCAGTCTACAAAGTTTCAGCAAATCTCTTTCAATCAGAACTAGTCGCGATTGCGATTCAAGAGAACAATCTAAAGCCTGATGTTGATTTCGCGATGGAACCCAAGTCTGATGTCAATTGGTGAAATCAGATCAACAGAGAAGTCAATCGAACTCAACAGCAATGAACTTCAGAACCTAGATGAAAACTCATTCAGTGAATTGGAATCAAGGAAGCTTCGTGAGTTCGGGAATATGCAAGAAACAACCAACTTGCAACGAGAAGTCATAGGGATTCGAGTTGGACCTTGGTTTGAAATCATGTTTCAATGAATCTTCAGTGTGAAGTCTTGTGATGTTGAATCTTCAGCGAAACTAGGGTTGCAAAGCCGAACTGCAGTCATCAATGCAAAGTGAGGGTGCGAAGTCGATTTCCAGTGAACCCTAAGGTTCTGGAGAGAATATCTCTAATCAATCAATTATCATATATCAAAGTTAGTTACAATTGATCCCCAATTCACTAGATATAGGCTACGAACTAACTACCCACTAACTAACATCACATGTTAGGCATATGTCCTATATCACATTCTTTCAAATTGATCTTTTTGAAGAAACAATGAGAAAATAAACAAATCTGACATTTTCATTACTCCATCGAATTTATTTGAAATGGTAAACTCTATGGTTGGAATGTATGGAAATTTGTGGACATCATTTTCCTATGAGGAGCTGAAAGTTCAATCGTATTCACATGCTTTTCTTTGACTTCCTTAGCTTTGGAATCATGATCAGCATGCTCTTCCATGCTTTCTTTAATTACAACAACAATTTCGGCTTTTGTTTCCTTAATATCCTCAACATCAACAGCATGTTATGTTACTCTTTTATGGTTTTATCTTTGCCCATTTGGTGACACTTAAAAGCTAGCTTTTTAGACTATTCTATTGGCTTAAAAAGCTTTAAATAAGTTGTGAAAAAGCTAAACCTGTTTGGTAAATAAGCTGTCAAATAGCTTTTTGATGCGTAAATGTCCAAAATGCCCTAGAATTTGTGAAAGTGATAATCCAAAAATGCACTTCTATGGGAATTTTTGTCGAACACATAAAAGTTGGAAAATTTAATCCTGAAAAAAACCTCTCTAGTTTCTTTAAACAAACTAACTTTTTTCTCTAAAAAAATATAATTGAATTGATTAAGTTGAATCCAAAAAGCTTTGCTAAATGCCAAAGTTAGCTTTTTTTTTTAAGCTGTGTTCTAGCTTGTTAGCTTTGCCATTAGCCTCCGTCTTGGATTGAAATAGTCAATCTATCGATGAAAACTATCAATTCTTTCAAAGTTGACATTAGCCTCTATGATAGAAGTAGTTAACCCATCGGTGGAAGCTATCAATTCTTTCAAAGTTGTACTGATAAAGGTAGTGACGCCTTTGTCTCTAGCCACCAAGCACTAAACCCCAAAGTCCACGATGCCTTGTTGAAGACTTCAACATACCTAAGTCTTGCTTCTTCGACTAAGTACATAGGTGTTGTAAATTCCACATAAGTGAGGTCCGCATGATGCAACTACGTCGGCAGCTGAAGTTAAGTAGATCACTTGAGTTGTACGATTTAACAACCACAGTAAACTCATGCTAGCATGACATGAACTCCATTTTAAGACTTAGGTGCATCATCTCAAATGCTATCATGTCTCCCAAGGACGATACCCTAACATGTGTCCCATGAATGCATCTTCTTTTCCACAAAAGATGTGGAAACTATATAGGGTCTTAAGTTAACTATGACATGTAGGCTTTAAAAAAAAAATTGTGCCTTCTTTTCCGATAGGCCTTTTTTTCATTTAGTCTAGGGACTTCTTTTCGAGGCCTAAAGTAAGGTCTTTGTTGGCTTCTTGGTATAGCTGGGAAGTGAAGTCCCACATTGCTTGGGTACTAAAGTAATGTAAAGTATATAAGTGTGTAACTAGTGTCAGAACTGATGGCTAACGATCTATGGGCGGGCTCTCTTGGAGCATTGATGTTGATGGGCTTGAGCTTGCACGAAGAGTCTCAATGGAGCAAGAAAATTACTGGTGCAGGTGGCAAGGTTGGACCACGGCAAGGTGGTTCTCAACAGAGTATGATGCCTCACGATGGAGTGTGTGCGAGTGGCCTTGGTTGGACACGATGTTGGAGAGTTATAGATCAAGATTAAGGGGGAGCAAGGTGAGGCCCAATGTTTAGTTCACACATTGGGGGGAGATTGTTGAAACATGTATGAAAGTAGAGTCCCATATCATTTGTAAAATCAATAAACATACATCAATCAATACATAATTCATTCTCTCTGTATCTCTCTTTATCAATTTATTTTACAGTATGAAAGTAGAGTCCCATATCAAATAAAGAGTAAAAAAGATGAGCCTTAATATACATTAAATAGACTCTCTACTTACAAGTCTAAGCTTTTGCAAAAATTGGCTACTTAACATGGTATTAGAGCCGAAGTACCTAGGGATAGGTAGGGTGCTTGCGTGTCCCTGGCCTGCATGCCCATGGATGCTGCTAAGTGAGCACACTAGGCGTGTGGGAGGGTGTGAAATGAGGTCCCACATTGCCTTGGTACTAAAGTAATTTGAAGTATATAGGCGTGAGGGCACCCTTACGTCACAAGCTAGCTTTTGGGGTTGAGTTCTACCCAAGATCATGTAACAATAGCTTCCCCTGGTTATCTGTCATTTTTTAACTTAGAAACAATCAATTAAACAAGAGGAATTATGCTTTGATACCAATTGAAGGAAATTTTAATGAACCTTTGTTCTGTTAGAGTACACAAAATGACCTCAGATGTTCGTCAGTTAAAGATGACTGAACAAGAATCTTTTAATCTAACAGATTTACCCCAGATTCATTCAACATTAATTAAGCAACTAAATCAAGCACATAAAAGCAAAAGCAATCACGATTTGGATTGTCTCGGTAGCGTGGCTTGCAATGCTCTTCTTGTAGTTTTAACCACAACATGACACATTAGCTAAGACATGATTCAATGGGTCAAATCTATTTTAAATTAACAAAACCAAAATTATGTTGCTTTCAAAAGGAAAAAAGGAAAAAAAAAAAAAAAAAAAATTCTGTGTCATTATCAGACTTTGGCTCAATGAGACTTGAGAGGGCCCACTACTGGATGCATATTACAAACTTACAATTACCAGGACTTAAATGGGATTTGGAATTGAATCAATGAATTTGCTGGCTCTGGCACCATGACAACATCTGACTACTTTGAAAGTTTGAGCCGATAAAGGACACTGTAACGTGCATATTTTTCTACCTAAATTTAATTGTTTCGATTAGACTATTTTCTTGTTTTATTGTTTCCTTCTTTTTATATTTAATTTTTTATTCGTTCCTGTGTTATATAGAAAGTTTTGGTCATCTCCTCTATTGTTATTTTACAGGCAGTATATGGTACACTTTTTGAAGCTGAGCATCGCTCGACTTTTTACATCCCTTATTGGAATATTCCTCTGGCAAGATGGTTAGTTCCCAGGCAGCGAAAATTCCAGAAGGACCTTAGGGTCATCAATGACTGTCTTGATGGTCTCATTAGAAATGCAAAAGAGACCAGACAGGTGAGTGGATAGAAAGCTGAATAAGGGAAGGAGTTGAGAACTGAAAATCAGACAAATTATGTAACCATATTCTGAATGGAAAACAATGAGGTGGTACGCAATGGTGCTTCACTTGCAACATATCTCTTGCTATTGTGGGAAAAGAGAAAATTATCATATTCTTGTAGGACACTTCGAGGCATTTTATTGTATTTTGTGTTGTTAAAACCTTAACATGTTTTGTTTGTTTCACTGGCATTCAGAATTTTTTACTTTTTATGTTTGTTTTCTAATGATGGTGGTGGGATCACAAATTATATGAAATAGTTTTTTTCTTTTCTTTTGTTGGTTTTTTGGAATACTTTCATTACTACATTCTGTAATCAGGTAGGATTATTTGATGAATTTCTTAGTTATATATCACCTTGTGAGGAGTAGTGCCAACAGAACTGATAATTAAGTCAATTTGTAAGATCATCCACTGATAGACCTCCATCTATTTCTCCCTTGGTTGTGGATAATATTTAGTTGTCAATTTTCTGTAAGAAATTTCTTTAACCTCTTAAATCCTAATGGATGCCTCTTTCAGGAAGTAGGAATCCAATAGGTTTTTCGTTTTTTTTTTGTTAGATCTTACATATGGAACTCTAGTACAGTGTTGGTTTTCTGTACAATCAAATCAACATCAAAACCAAAAAACTCATTTCACTAGCTTTTCCAATGCTGCTCCTGCTGACACAAGGTGCTGGAGGTGTAAATTGTGCAATGACCTAACCTTAGATACATGAAGTGTCTATCCTTGAAACTTTGTCCTGCTTGACGGCCCAATTTGTGACAGCTCCATTTTTTTACTATTGCATCAAGCATTAGCCCTGTAAATTAATGCTAAAACTGATAAACCTGTAGTGTTATAAAATGAAGATACCAAAAATTGCATGATTGATTTTGCTGTCAAATATGATTCCTTGTGGCCCTGGAAAGAAACTCAATTGCTTATGGACACTTGGACGGTGATGGAAGTACTGTACTTTTTGCATCAAAACAAATTAAAGCTTGATTATTAATAAGAATCCATTAATCTTTGTAAAGAATTAATAGGTATCTAATGCAGGTTTAATATCATTCTTCTTTTTTCATTATGTGCTTATCATTAGTTCTTGTATGTTAGCAAACAAACAAAATGCACCACCACCCAGAGTCTTAAACCTGATTTGATTATACCTTATGGCAGGAAACAGATGTTGAGAAACTACAGCAAAGGGACTACTCAAATCTTAAGGTAGGTATTTATCCTTCATTACAAAAATTGACCAAATTCATATTTTTTTTCCTCAACTCTAATGATCACTGAATATAGTTTAAAACATTTGCTAAATTTTTAAACCAGTCATGAATTTTAGCATCATAACTATTGAAGTTTGCAGGATGCAAGTCTTTTACGATTTTTAGTTGATATGAGAGGAGCTGATGTTGATGATCGTCAGGTGAGTAACTGCAACTTTTCTGTCTGCTTCTATGAGAATGATTTTATGTCAACAGTTAATGCGCTTAAGTGAACACCTACTGTACATCTCCGTGATTATTATAATAGGTTTCTCATTTATCCTGATGGGAATATGCATATTTTTCCTTCTGGAACGTGTCTATTGTTAATTGGTAAATTGGAGCCTTAGTGGAAAATGGAATCTTCCCTCAGCCAATTATTCCCCTTTGAGCATTTGAGATTCGTTAGTGACTAAAATTCTAGTTGAAATTGATGATTTTAGAGAATACCAAGATTAGGGAATGATTGTGATATCATTCCCCTTTTATATTAATGAAGATTAATAATTATAAGGGAGCCCTAAGACATAGAATAATTACACTTGAATAATAACCCAACTAATAATATACTAATCTAACACTCTTCCTCAAGCTGGTACGAAGATATATCTCATGCCCAGCTTGCCTAGGATGTCATGCAATGGCTTACTCCCAAAGCCATTGGTGAATATGTCATCGAGTTCACCAGTCTACACAAATGGAGTACATATTGTGCTACTAGTGAGTTTTTCCTTAATAATGAGTTTCTCCTTAATGAAGTGACGATCAATCTCAATATGTTTTGTCCTGTCATGTTGAACCGGATTGTGAGCGATGTTGATGGTGACCTTATTATCACAGTATAACCACATGGAGTCCGTCTGATCAATACCTAAATCACTCAATAATAACTTGATCCATAAGAGCTCACACACCTCTTGTGCCATAGCTCTAAACTCAGCTTCTGCACTTGACTTGGAAACTACATTCTGTTTCTTATTCCTCCAAGTAATTAGGTTGCCTCCAACAAAGGTGCAATACCTTGAAATTGATCTCCTATCCGTCACTAATCCAGCCCAGTCAGCATCTGTATAGGCTTCCACACGAAGATGATCATGCTTTGAAAAATAAAGACCCTTACCAGGAGCAGACTTCAAGTATCTCAAAATGCTCATAACAGCCTCGAAGTGAATCCGATGAGGAGCATGCATAAACTGGCTAACCTCACTGACAGCAACAACAATATCAATATCAAGACGAGAGTGAGATAGGTAGATGAGCATACCCATTAATTGCTGATAGCTCCCCCTATCAATAGCTGCTCTTCCTCCTTCATCCCCCAATTTCTGATTGGCTTCTAGTGGAGTGTCACAGGCCTTGCAGCCAAGCATCCCAGTTTCCTTCAACAGGTCAAGCACATACTTCTTCTGTGAGATAAATATCCTATCGTTGGAGCTAGCAACTTTAATTCCCAGAAAATACTTCAAGCTCCCCAAGTCTTTGATTTCAAACTCACGTGTTAAATATTTCTTCAACAGAGGTATTTTCTCACTATCATCGCCTGTAAGAATTATGTCATCCACATAAACAATGAGCGCTGTAGTCTTACCACGTGAGGAATGTTTCACAAACAAGATGTGATCTGCCTGACTCTGTTTGAAGCCATATTTAAGCATAACCTGAGTGAATCTTTCAAACTAAATCTTTGGAGACTGTTTGAGACCATATAATGACTTCCGAAGCCGGCATACTTTACCCTCTGTCTGATGATCCTCAAAACCAGGAGGAATGTCTATATATACATCTTCTTCTAGGTCACCATGGAGAAAGGCATTCTTTACATCAAGCTGATGAAGTGGCCAATCTAGATTAGCTACTAGAGAAAGAAGTACTCTGATTGAATTCATCTTAGCATCGGGTGCTAAGGTCTCCTGATAGTCAACGTCATATGTCTGAGTGAACCTTTTTGCCACAAGTCTAGCCTTGTAACGCTCAATGGAAACATCCGCTTTGCGTTTCACCAAATACACCCATTTGCATCCCACAGGTCGTTTGTCCTCGGGTAACTCAGTCAATTCCCAAGTGCCATTCTTCCTAAGTGCTTTCATTTCCTCAATCGTGGCAAGTTTCCACTCAGAGGTAGCAAGAGTATTCTGAAAATGGTTAGGAATACTAACAGAGGAAATATTTGACACAAAAGCTCTACATGAGGACGACAAATGAGAGTAGGATACAAAATTGGAGACAGGATGTTGAGTACAAGATCTCACACCGTTTCTCTTATCAATAGGAAAATTAAGATCAATAGGAGTATCAAGATCAGCGGACTCAAGAGATTCAAAGTTACCTAGACTCTCATCAGAAGTAGGAGATGGCAGTGGGTGAGCAGAAGTGGTGTCTCGTATCCAGTTAACTTTTTGTTTGTCTTTGTCCCTGACACAAACTTGGTGACATTGGGTTCTGTAGTCCCAGTAAGAGGTGGTGGTTCAAGAACAACTGGTTCCACCATAGGAATCACAGGAATCACTTCACACCAAGGCTCCCTCTGAAGGGAGGACTGTGACACCGGAGAGGACAAGAAATAGGACTGAGACTCAAAGAAGGTGACATCCATGGATACAAACCACTTACGAGGAGGGTGATAACATTTATACCCCTTTTGAGTAGGAGAGTACCCAAAGAAAACATATTTGAAGGAGCAAGGGTTCAACTTGCCACGAGTAGGAGAGTGATTGTGGATAAAACAAACGCAGCCAAATGTTGTTGGAGGAAAAGAAAATAAGGATTCGGAACCTAAGAGGACTTGAAGGGGAGCTTGTTTTTGCAAGACCTGAGTATGAAGACGATTAATAGGATGGGCAACAGTGAGAATAGCATTGCCCCAGTAGGACCGAGGCACACTCATAGAAAAATACATGCATCGAGCCATGTCAAGAAGATGACGATTCTTGCATTCCGTCACCCCATTTTGTTGAGGGGTATTGGTGAGGTCTGATAGATAATGCCATGAGTAGAAAAATATTGCCCTAACCCAAAATCTATATATTTCCCCCCATTATCAGAATGAAAGATTTTGATAGTGGCCCCAAATTGAGTACAAATCATATTATGAATATTGCGGAACCCATAGAAAACCTCACTCTTGTCTTTCATGAGATACACTCAAGTAGTACGAGAAAAATTATCAATAAATGTAACAAACCATCGATGACCTTTCACAGACATAACATGAGATGGACCCCAGATATCAGAATGTATTAAGGAAAAAAGAACTAAGCTTTTACTAAAACTGGGGCCAAAAGATGCTTTGTGTTGTTTTTCAAGTTGACAAGACTGACAAAGAAACTCAGACACATTATTGTTTGTAAAAACAGATAGAAATAAATGTTTAAGTAAATAAAAAGAAGGATGTCCAAGACATCGATGCCACAATCATAAATCATCTTGGGTAGTAGGACTCGTGGTAGAAGAATGAGCAAGCTTGTCCGGTTGATCCAGGAAGTAGAGATCATTTTCTGCACTACTACTGCCAATCGTCCTTCTTGTGACAAGGTCCTGAAAAAGACAATGATCAAGAAAAAACGTCACACTACAATTCAAATCCTATGAGAAATTCCCTATATGGGAATAGGTGGCAACCACAGCATCCCAAATATCTTGGGCAATCTTCATAGACAAGTAGCCCTCACCAATTTCTGTTACCATCGAATGAATAAGCCAACCCATAATCAAAGAGTTGGTAATCTCCCATTGGTCGTAACCCGAGTCAGTGGTGTTGGGTGCCTATATCCTGCTATCAACATACTTTATTCTCCCTCTGCTCTTCAAAAAAATAGTCAAACTCTGCGACCACGCTAGATAGTTCTGACCATTAAATAGAGAGGTGGTGATTTTAAGACTAGGGTTGAGGTTATCAGTCATAGTCGGAGGTATTATGGAACTCTCACTCCTAGGTGTCTGAGAAGTCGTGGACACACTGGTGGAAACTGCCATGGATATTGTACTACCGAACCCTCAACAAAACTAGTGCCAATCACAAACCCGGAAGGTGGTGGTGGAAGTAAAGATACAATGACCACTATAAAAGCATAACAAATTAAGAACTCATAGAGTTTTTATTTATTTATTTATTATTATTATTTTTTTATGGGTTTAAGAGAAACGAAGTCAACAACAATCTAAAGAAACAACAGAAAGGAAGACAAAAGCAGGGAGACAGAAAGTGAACTCAAAAAGAGAGACGACAGCAGAGAGACGATCGCATGAAGCCAAGAAGGCATAGGGGCAGTCGGCCAAGCAAGAAAAGCCTACACCAGCGGCAAGGACCAATAAAAGACCAGGATGGGCCTTCGGTAAGGACTTCGAGCAACCCAAGTGCGTTTCGAACCCTAGGGTGATCTGAGTTGCTGATTTCGACCAACAAGGGTGAGCCGAAACCCTAGATAGACATCAAGCCACCCGAAACCACTTGGGTCGTTCTCGGCTTGAGCCGAAGCCCCTCAGGGTGGAGTAAGCTTGAGCCAACAAAGAGAACCTGTCTCTGCCTCGCGGCTGGTGGCTCCGGTGGTGGCTGATGACTCTGGTGGGTAACAAGAACTGTATGGGTAGATGGGTTTAGGTTTTAGGGTTAGGCTCTGATACCAAGATGATTTTAGAGAATACCAAGATTAGGGAATGATTGTGATATCATTCCCCTTTTATATTAATGAAGATTAATAATTACAAGGGAGCCATAAGGCATAGAATAATTACACTTGAATAATAACCCAACTAATAATATACTAATCTAACAGAAATATACGCTTACCTATGGTTTTCTCTCTTAACTGTAACAGCTAAGGGATGACCTGATGACGATGCTTATTGCTGGCCATGAAACAACAGCTGCTGTGCTTACTTGGGCTGTTTTCCTTCTTGCACAAGTATGCTTCTCTAAAAACAAATTCAGTTTCAGTCATGTCAAATTCAGTTTTTCTGTTCACTTGGCTTTCAAAGTAAGATCTGTTAGTAAGTGTGGTTATGCTGGTGTATAATGTCTGTCTTGCTGTCTTGCAGAATCCTTCTAAAATGAAGAAAGCTCAAGCAGAGATTGATTTGGTGCTTGGTCAGGGCAGACCATCTTTTGAGTCACTTAAGAAACTAGAGTAGGTTACAGAGTTTGCTTCTCTGAACCTTTTTCTATTAATATTGGATAATAATTGTTTTCCAGATCCCATTATGTTTATTTTCCATTGTAATCGGCTGCAGCAACAAAATATGTTTATGCTCATTGTGGCTATGAAAAAAAAGTGCTCCCACTGTTGTCATGTTCTTGATATGTGAATTGCATCATTGATATAGGATAAAGATAAAATAAGGCTTTGAGATCAATGACAATGTCCATGTTGAGATTCATACATGTGGAGGGAAATTTCATTTTGTTCAATAATGTACATACATACAAATGTACACGTGTGTGTGTGTGTGTACAGATATTGCTTCTGACTTCTAAATGTATGTATAGTAGTAATGGTAACCATAACCTTCTAAAGAGATGGTGTCGCGTGCAAGGTGCCAAATATTCTTATTAAACTACAATTTTCAACCAAATTTTCCATAAAATGATTTATGAACAACATCAAAAACAGAAATGTCATATGCACTTCGTCTATTATAAGAAATTAAAGAATTTTTAAAACTTTCATTTTATAGATATGTATTCATTCCTAGGAAGCACAGGAAGCACAAGTACGGACACGGGACACAACAGTTTTCAAAAAATTAGGATACGATCACGGCGAGGATATGACAGTTTTTTTTTTAATATATATATTTATTTTCTGTGTATGAATATAAATTTAGGGAATAGAGGTATGAGAGGCATCGATGGATGTGAGTGCATTTTGTTTTTTCTGCCAAAATCCCCTTTATGTTTCCATATAAGCTTTCTGAAAAGTAAAAAATTCCCACAGAGGTACTTCATGCCTGTTTAGACACATGACATGTGTCCATTAAGTGTCCCCACATGTATTGCAAAAGAACAATAATTAAAAAAATATATATTGACATGTGAGTCTGCGCCGCGTTGGACATGGACATATGTCCAATGTTGACACGACACCCATTTTGGAGTGTTTGTGCTTCCTATTAAAGGCAATAGGTGCACTGAAGTGCCAAGGTTTTCTAGGGCCTATGCACAAGGTGCAAGGTGAGGCGCGAGCATCATCGAAGTGAGGCTCATGTTGACGATAAAAAATAGATAATTTAGTATAAGGAAATATTTATATAAGGAAATAATTCAAGTTGCAACATAGGTAAAATAAAATATTAAACATTTTAAAACATAAATACCAACAAACACCAATATTTTATCATAGACAAATAATGCAAGGTTCACATAAACACAAACATTTAATGCATAAATCATAAACATTTAAAAATAGCGACCAAATCGAAGTGTCAAACAAGATAAGCATAGAGAAGGAGAAGAAGGAGATTGAGGAGATGAAGAAGAAGAATAACAACAGTTAGTCTAGTCGAGGTGAATGCTCTATGCAACCAACGCCTTTGTATAGTTAGGGCTAAAAAAGTGTTGGGTTGCAATTTATGTTTAGGGATTTAATCCCTTGTAGCCGCATATAAACAAAAATAAATAAATAAATGAGATTAAGTGAAATCAAGGACTGTAATTGTAATAAACAAACATTTTAAAAGAAGTGCACAAGTCGTGTGCCTTGAGCCTAAGCCTAAGGTGCACGCTTTTTGCGCCTTTATTGGTCCTGTTTCACTTCGCCTGGCCTGAGATGCTCCAAAGCACACTGACTGCACCTTGATAAGCCTTGGACCTAGGTGTTAAGCCACCAATTTTCTCAAAAGCTTAACTTAATAGGTAATGGGCCCAACAATATATATCAAGCTATTCAACATCCTCCCTCACGTGCGACGTCATGCATGTGGAGATACAAAGAGAGAACCAAATAGAAAGATAAACAAATACCCAAGCAAAGAAGAAGAAACCAAACGAGGGCAAAATACCAAATGCCAACGAAGAGACTTGAACCTATGATCTCTCTCAACCTAAGCTCTGATACCATTTTAAGTCACCAATTGTTCCAAAAGCTTAAGCTGATAGGTAATGGGCCCAAGAATGTACATCAAGCTATTCAACACTAGCCGTACACCTAGGTGCACATTTAATAACACTCTTGGCCAGCACACAAACAGTAAAATGAGGAAGATTCTCCAAGTCAGTAACAAGATGGTCAATGTGGTAGTGGTTGGAGTGATGGAAGGAAAAAACTGGTGACCAAGGAAGGGTCCTTTAGGGATCGCTTGCTTGACCAAGAAAGGGTCCTTTAGGGTTTGAGTCATCATGGCTAGCATCCAAGAAGGTGGAGGTATTGAGGTGCAAAAGAGGCAGTGGTTTCCTAGGCAGTCTCATTGGTGGTGTGGGGAAGTTGGAGTGCTAGAGTTTGGTCAACTATGGTGGAATTTTTTTGGAGGTGAGAGCTTTTGTTTTCTCGTACTTCAAGTTGCTCTATATATCTAAATCAAACTTTGGAGATGGGTTGCAAAAGTGCTGGAGAACTTTGACCCAAGAGTGGTTAAGAGGTCAGAGAAGGTGTGTATGTATTTATAGGCCGAGTTGATTTTGAAGTGGCCTAAAGTGGAGATGTTTGTCGATTGGAGGACAAGGAAGAGGGGCTATGATGTTGAGGTTGATTTCTCCTCTACAACTAATGAGTGTTTGTGGGGTGATTGGGCCATTTTTGGGGTTTTTGTCTTATGTTTGGGCCTTTGGAGGAAAGGATGGTATGATTTGTAATGTCACTTGAGGTTTGCGATTGGCGATGGGTTGAAGATCCATTTCTAGTGCCATCTCTGGTGCGGGAAGAAGATTTTGGAGACAGTGTTCCTAACTCTTGCTAGGATTGCAATTGATAAAGGAGTTCTAGTTAGTGACTACCTGAGGAGAGAGGGATGATACCCCGTTTTGGGTGAGATTAAAATTTGTAAATTTTAAGGTGAAATCTTTATATGTTGCTCTATTGGGCCTCAAGGATGTTCCTTTCCCTTGGAGAGCAATCTAAGGGACTAAAGCTCCATCCAAGGTGGGTTTTTTTTTTTTTTTTTTTAGACAACAACGCGTGGCAAGATTCTCACAATTGATAATTTTTTCTTGAGGAAATAGATCCTTGTGAATTGGTGTTGTATGTGCAAAGGAGATGGTGAATTGGTGGATCTTCTTACCCATTGTTTGGTGGCTTGGCATTTTTAGACTTTATTTTTGGTCTTGTTTGACAAGAGGTGGGTTTTCCTGTCTATAGTTTGGTGTTCTTGTTTGCTTGTAGGGGAGCTATAGTTGACAGTAGGAGGAGGAGGTGTGCTTGGTGTTTGGGCCCTTCGGCATTGATGTGGAGCCTTTGGAGGGATCGTAATAGAAGATTCTTTTATGAAATCAAAACTCCTATTTTTGTTTTGAAGAATAATAGTTTGGTTATTTTATGTAGTTGGTTTTTTGGTGGGGTTGATCAATGCTTGAATCAATTTTTGAATTTTGTAGAGCATTTGGATTAGGTCGACGTATAAGAATTTTGGTTTTTTCATTGGATATTGGTAGCAACCCCCTTGGTGCCTCTTGAATATAATACATAACTTTTTACTAATCAAAAAAATATTTATTTCTTATACTGAAATTCAAAACATGTTTGTGTCTAGTTTAGTCTGTTGAACCAAACATAAAATATTTATGTGGCAATATTTATCCATCTATTAAGTTGTTATAGTGGAATAAGTATTGCCACAAAAATATTCCAACAGACTAAATATTGTCACATAACTACTACTTAGAGGAATAAAATACAATAGACTAAACCTGACATAAAATGGCTCTGTTTGGTAGGGCTTATTTCCAGCTTATTTCAGCTTTTAGCTTAATTTAAGCTATTTTGATGTGTTTGGTTCAGCTTAACAATACAGCTTATAACTTTTTATAAGTCAAAAATTAACTTATTCTTTGAGTGGGGGAGGAGAAGCTTAATTTAGAAGTCAAAAATCAGCTTATGTTCACAGCTATAAGTTATAAGCTGTTAGGCTATAAGTTAATAATCACTTTTCCACAGCTCTATCAAACAGGGCCAATATATCAAGTGAAGGAGAAATAAGAATATTGCCACATAACTACTTAATGGAGGAATGGAAAAGGGGGACAGGGGAGCAACTAGGACAAAGACGTGTTAATCAATTTTTGGAGTTCTAGAAAATCAATGCACACTTTTTTAACCCTAAGAAGCATGTACACTTCTATGAAGGTATTGTCTCGTGTCAATGTCTGACTCGACACAACATGACACAACACTCATTGGGCACATCCCAATACCTATTGGACATACATCCAAATATGTCCAACTACGTTTATAAATTTTCTGAACTCAGACATGCTTCAAACATTTGAGGAACACATCTATAGCTTTAGACATGCATAAGACAAATTACAAGTTTGAATAAAATTACTTAGAAAATGATAGAAGAAAAATAACATAAATTTATACTTTTTTTTTGTCTGTTACTTTAAAAAAATATTTTTTGAATTAAATATATTTATATTTATATTTATTATATGACATCATAATTATTTATCCTTATATATGCAATATAATAAATATGTAAAACTATATGTCTTACGCATGTGCCCCACGTGTCTTGTCCTACATTTCTTGAAATTTTTGTATCAGTGTGTCATGTATCCTCATTCATGCTTCTTAGCTTATACCCCCTAATTATTGGAGAGATTGGATATGTTGAAAAATGTACAATTCATGTAGATATCTGGAATAATAGCTACAACACCTGCATGCAAAACATGATATTTAGTAGTGCTGATCAAGGGTCGGGTTGGGTCGGTTTTGCCGGTCTTCCATCACCTGAACCAATAACTTCAGTTTGGAACCAATCTCGACCAAATATTGATTCGGAACTGATCATTCGGGTGGAATAATAACCGGTCGGGCTTTGGTCGGTCCAACAACAAACTGTCATTCACAATCATCAACATAAAAATCTCATTCTCAACACGGGCTCAGAGAGGACAGAAATCAGAGGGGTTTGGGAGATCAGAGAGGGAGTGTTTGAAGAAATAGAGGGGGAGGCAGATCTGCCCCACCAACACCACAAGCTCACCACCACTGTTACGATATCGGTGCTCCTGCCATGATCTCAACTCCACCGCGACTATTTCAGCATCGTCGCCTTCTCCATCCCATCTGCTCTAGTGACTGAGAATGAAGGATAATATTGAAGCTGAGTGTGAGAGAGAGAGAGAGAAAGAGAGGACAAGCTTTCCTTCTGATTATGCAACTATCTGATCAATGAAAATAAGGAGTTAGTAGTAGATGAGTACCAATATCAACAACTCTGATGGATGAGTACCAATGTGATACAGTTAGTGGCCTTAAATGATAAGGTGTAATCCCTCAAGTCCATAACAACATGCCACGTGGGACAACTACAAAAGCTAAGATAATAAAAGAATTCAGTTGGTCAGATTTAATGCGGGTGAATAGCTGTGCACCCAACACTCAAACTGGTACCCGAATTTTTACACCCATTCCCAACCATGTGATTGGTTGAAACCAACCGCGGGTCATTGCTTCGCGTCAGGTCAATCGGTTTGGAAGGGTCAGTCGGTTTTATGAACAGCCTTAATATCCAGTAACTGAAAATGTATATTTACCAAACCACATGTTTGATTAACATAAATACATGCATACATTTTCAAAATCTGTAAGCAATTATCTGTTGTGTACAAACAGCTCACCTCTCATTCGTTTTCTACTTTCTCATCTGTAGGAGTTTGGTATTATGTATGCTATATACTGACTAGCTCTATAAAAAGGAAAGGAAGGATTTTGAAAATTTACTGTTATTTTCTGTCTCAACTCTCAACATTATATTATATTTTAATCCTTTTATGTCCTTCTTGTTCTGATGCTTTGATGAGGACTTCAGGCCTTATCCATGAAATTATTTTATTTTTTCCAGCTGTAACCTAATTCTGTTATGGTTTTACGACTTTTTACTTGTTATTTAGGTATGCTTCAAGCACAAAGTGTAATTATCTTTAGTATTCCACTGCTTTCAGGTTCATCAGACTTATTATTGTGGAGGCTCTACGTTTGTTTCCGCAGCCTCCGTTGCTTATCAGACGCACTCTCAAGTCAGATTTATTACCAGGTATAAATTCTAGGCGACTTTATTTATGAAGATAAACAATTCGAATAAAGAATAACTTTTATTTTTGTCACCCACCCCTCTTAACTTCAGAATGAACATGAATTTTTGAATGTGGTATTACGAGGCTTTCAACTGTTGGATATGATTCTAGCTCTTTGCAACTCTAGTGCTTCATTCAATTTTTTTTGGATATTGATTCAGTTGTCTTTAACAAGAAAAGGAAATGAAGTTGTGAATGTAAAGCTACACAAGGTCAACCAATGGGAAATAACAAACATGAGATTTGTTAAGGAGAGAAACATGTTTTTAGGACTTTATTTTTAACAATAAAATAAGAAAATAATAGAAAAGGTTATTTGTGAAATGCATTCATTTTATCATGTTAATATTTGCCCTATTGATGTTTTATAAGGAACTCATGTCAATTGAGACTCCAATTTGTTTAAGTTCTGTTTAAATTCTACACTGACACATCATTATCTTGCTTGTGGACAATATAGGTACATCAAGTATTTTTCATATTCAGTACTCCTAGCTTCGAAGATACAGCAGTTGGCTAGGGTGGATGTAGAAATTTAATGTATAAAGAGAAATAGAGAATTGTATTATTGATTGATAAAGAGAAATAGAGAATTGTATTATTGATTGATAAAGAGAAATAGAGAATTGTATTATTGATTGATAAAGAGAAATAGAGAATTGTATTATTGATTGATAAAGAGAAATAGAGAATTGTATTATTGATTGATAAAGAGAAATAGAGAATTGTATTATTGGAGTAGGTAGATTTTAACAGTGGACAAATAAATCATCTGTCACATCATTTTACTTTGTGTCATCTCTTTATAGTTACAATTACATGGGAAGGTCACCTAGGGATAAATTCTTCCGTGAAATATCTGGAGCCACTAACTTAAAACTTGTTCTTGTTTTCATGTTCAAGGCAAAGCCAGTTTGCCCCCTTTTTTTATTTTTTGTAAAAAGTGGTAATTCATAGCTTTGAGGAAGGAAAAAGAAAAGCTGATAATGGAAATTTTAGGAAGGGGGAAAATTATGAAGGAAATCCTGCAAATATAGGGGAGTCTGACAATAATTTGTGGCTTATTACTGGAATAGAGACGATTACTTGATATTGAAGTTTCGAACTTATTTGGCCTAAAGAGCAACAAAAAAGGACCAAAAAACAAACTCACTAAATTATTTCTCATTGTGAAAAAATGGCAGAAGAACTTACTTGCGAGGTGGATGGTGTTACGTTTAAGGAGAGCATGTGAAAATCACTACCATGTGCACAGTTGTTAGAATTTTACGATTCACAATTTGATTCACGATTCATGCATAGATTGATGTGAATCTATTTTAGGATAGGATCGATAGTGAATTGCAGTATTCATAATTTGATTTGTGTTTTACAATTCATACGATTCAATCTATGGCTGAATCTGTTTTGGGATAAAGTCAGTAGTGAATATGATTTCAGTTCACAATTTGATTCACGATTCATATAAATTTTGAAATTGTTGAGTCCAACAGATTCCGATACCTTTTTATGTCTTTTGTTTAATATGCAATTTAACTTCGTAGAGTGTTTAGTATGAAAATAATCAATACCTCTACATAATTTGTTGTTCTGTTGGTGATCAGAGGGTTTTGTAGGATCCAGTCAGATCCAATCAGAATACTCTTTCTCAAATTTTTCTTCAGAAAAAATGCCAAAATACATCTTCTAAGAATGTTTAAGGCTAAAATAATTTGCATCCATGAAATATATATTGCTATCTTGGTGAAATAATCATAGTCTAATATAATATAGGCCAGGTCAGTTGGACCCGAAGGTTCCACAATTTTTTTTTTCTTTTCCCTAAACTGATGTAAGTAATCATCATGTGCTTCTGTTTGTTAGTTGTTGTGTTAGCTACTAGTGGAGTTAGTTGCCTACAAATAGGTGTGTAGAGGCTTCATAACTAATATTGCATTGCTCTTGTATTTCCCTTTGGGAATTTTCTAGATTTCATTTTTTCTCTGAATTTTGGATTCATCATTTGGTATCAAAGTAAAGGATTCTGTATCTACTGTGTTCTTGCCTGGACGATGATCTCAACAAAACTTAGCTTGATCTCAGTTTGCACCTCTTAGGGGATAACAAACACTAACTGGGAATTATACCTTTCATCTTGAGTTTGGGAATTGATTTCAAAACAACATGAACCCTAGCGGCCTTAATGGGTAGCGATAACCACTACAACCATTACGTAACGGTGTTACGTAACGGTTGCGGCTGCTTTTTAAAACCTTGCTTTTGACTGATTTGAGTGTCCATCAGTCTGCTCCAACCTCCCTTTACTCCGTAGTGCTATTCAGATTGCCCATAACACTGTCTTCCATGGGCGGACGAAGCACATTGAGATTGATTGTCGTTTTTTATGTTAGCATTCGCAGTCTGACTCCATCTTGTTTCCTTTTGTCTCTTTGGCTTTACAACTTGCTGATTTCTTTACCAAGACTCACACCACTGCTCGATTTCAGTTTATTCTTGGCAAACTCTCATTGTTTTCTGCTAAAACACCTTGAGTTTGAGCGGGGGTGTGAGAATATTATATTAATTATGGAAATATATATTAGGTTGATTGTATAGGGTTATTCTTATTTCCTATCTTAGATTAGGTTTAGGATTGCTATATATATCGGTTATACTCTTTGTATTATACACAATTGAATATACAGAATCGTTTAGAAAACTTATAGGGGGCCTAAGTGTATTTTTTCTAAACCTCAGGGGTGGTCAATGTAATTTACCCTTTATTTAATTTTGTATATGTTGTTTTGTTTCTAAGATCTCTGAGAGAATGAAAGTAGCTAGTGCGTGTGGATTTCAATGAAGTTTTTTTTTTTTTTTTTTTTGAAGTTTTGAGCAGTCGTAATTTCATTTCTTCCTATTTATTTTAGTTATGTTGCTTTTGTGTTGGTTTTAAGGGAGTGATAAAAGAAGAGTACGGTAAAAAAGGAAAAATTAAACATACTAGTAATTCATCCCAAATTTCTTGTGCTATGTAATATTTGTTCTTGTAATATTGAGTGAATCCTTGAACTTTTTTTCAATTGTGCAGGAGGATATAACGGTAACAAGGACGGATATGCAATTCCCGCCGGAACAGATATTTTTCTTTCTGTGAGTGGTTCATCTTCTTGCATCTTTAGCTTATTTTTAGTATTATATGGATGCATGACAGATGTACAATTGTTATGGGCTTTACCCATTTTCCCCTCCAAAAAAGATAATCTTTTACAATGAGAAATGAAATAGTTAGAACTTGATTTTGCTAGAGGTACCTTCGTATAGAAAATCTGTTTGCGAGCTTTTTGTTCTGTTTATTGACTTCAACTCTCTTTTTCTATTAAACGTGATTTTCGATTGTGATTCTCCTGTTAAGGTTTATAATCTCCATAGATCTCCATATTTCTGGGACAAACCTCATGAATTTGAACCAGAGAGGTTTCTAGCACAAAAAAATAGTGAAGGCATAGAAGGGTGGGCTGGATTTGATCCATCTCGAAGCCCCGGAGCATTATACCCAAATGAGGTTTTATACAATAGCTACTTTTTAGCCTTTCTAATATTTCACACATTTTTTTTAATATCAATTAATGGTTTATTGCTTCATTTAACAGATTATATCAGATTTTTCCTTCTTGCCTTTTGGTGGAGGACCAAGAAAATGTGTTGGAGACCAATTTGCACTGATGGAATCGACGGTGGCATTGGCAATGTTGTTACAGAATTTTGATGTGGAGCTGAGAGGATCTCCCGAATCTGTGGAACTTGTTACCGGGGCAACAATTCATACAAAGAATGGACTTTGGTGCAAACTTAAGAAGAGATCTGATGTTCATTTGAAAAAGAGTGAGCAATAGAGATTGCACGCGTATAAGCCAATAATTGTATCTACCATCTAGTGTACTCCAGGAAAAAATTTACACATTAAGTACTGTGAAAGCCTGAATATATATTTTGTCCTTCATCAATATATGTAAACCTAATGTCTCAGGTTATGTTAATTTTCCTGACATAGTCGATCAAAGATGGGGGAAATTACCCATAGGTCCCATGTGGAACATGTGAACACCATTTAATCCCATAACTTTTTGAGTACACCTAAAAGTCCTTTTTCCTCTATCTTTCTGCTTTGTGCTTCATGAATACGAGTTCTGCCAACACAGATGTTAGCCCAACAGGCCATCGACCCTCTCTCTCTCTCTTTTTTATTAGCATTCAAATGCAATTGTTTGTATTCTAGTAGACAACAATAAGTAAAAAAATGAAATGTTGTTTTATTATTCCTTATGGCAAGTGCATGTATGTTGGGGAACAAGTATAGTTGGATCATGGGAGGTAGCATTTTATGAGATCCAATCAAACAAAGTCATCAGCTGTTGGAGCACGAACCCAACAACACAATAGTTAAAATTGTCTTTGTTTTTTTTTAATTTTCTCCAATTATAGTCTTTCCATACAAATATTTGTATATGCTGTGTTGATTATTTTTAGGGTTTAGAAATTGTGTGGTCAATTTAAATTGATGCTCTCGACATATGTGGATATATATGCCAATGACTTCTCTCTTTTGTGTGTGTGTGTGGTGTGTGTGTATTACTAGCATGGAGTTATGCACATTGGATGTTTGCTAAGTTATCTCAATGTGTGACTTGACTGGGAAAGGTTACCATGTGCATTCCAAAAAAAAGTTGCATATGTTAAGCATTTTATATAAATAGAATAACTTTTTTTCATTATAAAAAATTTAACTTCTTGTTCTTCACAAAAAGTATTACTTTTCTTGTGGTTATTTAGAATGTTCTAAATAAGTGTACTTTTTGACTTTTTGAACTAATAATTAAAGGGGAAAAAAAAATGATTGTTTGGGATAATTTTTTAACTTTTTACGAAAAAATGTGTATTAAAATATTATATAAAATAGCTAAATTATGAAATTATCCTCCCTGACATAGTTAGCATTACTGCGTTGACTTTCTAGGGCCGTTTCCCAAATGAAGGCAAAATAGCAACCTATTTCCCAAACTAAGCCTAGTTTGGACGGATTTTCCAAACTAAGCTAAAACGTTATTACAAACCACGTTTTCACCATTTTTGTAGCCCTCCCGTGAAAAATTCGTAAAATCGTAAAAGCGTGGTTACAAACCACGCGTTTAAAGAAATTTGATTTATACATAAAGCGTTGTTAGGAACTATTCTTTTAAGTAAAATTTATTTTTTTCAAAAAACGTGGTTGCAAACCACACTTTTACTGTTGACCAAGGAAAACATGGATGATAACCACGTAGCAAAATGTGAAAACGTGTTACGTTTTCAACAAAAAATCAAACCCAGCACTCACTCTTCTCTCTCTCTCTCTCTTTGACACACTCACATCCATATATAATTTTAATATATATAAATTTTATTTTATAAAATTGAGACCAATATTAAATATATATATATATATATATAATATAATTTATAATAGCAAATAATAATCAACTATATAATTTATATATAATTTTGAAAAAAAATAGCTTTTATTGAAAAAATAACTTTTTTTTTCAATTAATTTTTTTTTCAAATAAAATTAATTGAAAAAAAAAAATTTGTTAGTAAAATTTTTAAATGTTTGTTTAAAAACCAATGTAAACTCATCTTTTGGGCTATGTATGGTTTGATTTTTAAACCAACGTAAGAAATGACTTATCAAAAGATTTTTAGGCTATGTATGGTTTGAAAAAAAATTAATTAAAAAAAAATTTAGGGATAAAAAATTTAATTGGAAAAAAAAATAACTGAAAAAAAAAATAATTGAAAAAAATATATATTTGAAAAAAAAATTAATTGAAAAAAAAAATTATCCCTAAACACTAAAATAAAAAAAAAATTATCCCTAAACACTAAAAAAAAATTTTTTTTTTTTAGTGTTTAGGGATAAAAAAAATTTATCCCTAAAATTTTTTTTTATTAATTTTTTTTAAATAAAAAAATAATATGATCCAAAATAAATTTTTAATTTTTTTTTTTTATTATCTTTCCAAAGAGGCCTATGTCATTTGCAACTGTCTGTCTCATAGGAGTACAATGGATCGATGGATTTTTATTATGCATTTATTGTTTATTTAACTGGTCGTTTTCATATTAAGGAAGTGAATTAGCTTTTTAATTTTTTGGTTTTTTTTGACTATTTTAGTCTGGGCTAAAAAGCTTGTTTTGGGAAGAATTTTTTGATTTTTTTGGCTTTTTTGACTTTTTTTGTGAGAGAAGAGTGTAATGATTATTGGTTGGATTTGATGTTTTGTTTTTTGTGGCTAAAATAGCCTATTTTATTTTTTGTGACTAAAATAGCCAAAAAAGCCTCAACCAAGGCTTCCCAAACGGGTTAGTGTTGGTGTTTTTGTGCTTTTTATACACGAGAGAGATTTTTATTTTTTTTTTTTAAAGAGTGTTACATAAAAATCAAATCAGTGTGTTTAGTTTTAGTTTTTAAAATTAATTTTTTTATTTTTTTTATTTTTAGTGAATATTATTAAAATTTTAAGTAATTTTTTATTTATTTTTATTTTTTTAGATGCATCTTATTTAAATTTATCTAAATAGTAAAATATTTTTTAAAAATTAATAAATACACAAAAATACTAAAAAAATATTGAATTTTCGTTTTTTTTTTTGTATTTTTGACATTTAGTGAGTTTTTTTTTAAAAAAAATTCACAAATATTATATTTTTTAAATATATTTATATTAGGTGTGCTTAAAAATTAAAAAATTATTTAAAATATTAAAATAAAATTATTGAAAACAAATAAATACAAAAAATAAAAAAATATAATTTTCTAAAAATGAAAATCAAACAAGCTAAATGACTTTTTTGCCTCCCTGAAATTCAACTGGGTTTTGATGGTTTAACGTTGGTATTCTTGACGCTCATTCTACATAGAAGAGGGAGAGAGAAAGTGTTTTTGGAGAGAGAAAGACACGTAACGTTGGGTAGAGTTTTGAAATTATATTTGAGTATGAAGTTATATTTTGAGTTTGTGGTTTTAATAATAATTTGAAAGACAAAATTTGTTTGGTTATGAGTTTAAAAAGAATTTTAAAAAAATATTTGAATTGAGTTTTGAATTTTGAAATAAAATTTAAAAGCAGAAAAGTTGTTTGATTCAAAAACTTATAATTCATAACCAAACACATAACTCAAAATTCTATTTAAAGCTCATACAAAACTCTTTTTAAAATTCAATTCAAAAAAATAATTATTGATAAAAACAATTTTGTTATTAAAAAATTTTAAAAAATTTGAAATATTTTTTTATGTAAAATATAAAAAATATTAATTTTTGTTAAAAAATAAAAAACAAATTCTTATTTTTTCAATTAATAGGTGTCAATTGCCCACAAAAAAAAAAAAAAATTATTGTTCCAGTCAATCGACCGACGTCTAAAAAGATGATCAGATAGACTCAATTCGCTCTTTTCAAAATTTAAAAAACTCTCTACTTCTCTAAACATGACCAAAAATAAGTTTAGAATGTGACATTAGAATTAATTTTTAAAAATTTAAACTAAACAAAATATTAAATAATGCACTAAAATCATGTTTTCAGAGCTGCGTAGGTGTTTTTTTAAGAAGAGAGAGAAAGGAAGAGTACGGTTTTAGAAAGAGAAACGGCCTATTAGAGAGAGAGAGAAACTACATTGTGTTACTGATTTGGGACACACTCGCTCTGTGAAGCAACTGGCTTCTTCTTTTCTCAAACCATCCATCTCAACTGGGCTAAGGGCTTGGGATTGTAGTAAGGATATTAAATTTTTTATTAAATAAATAATTAAATCTCTAACGTGGATTATTTATTTAGCCTCGTTTGGGGAGGTGGGTTGGTTTTTTGGTTTTTTGGCCTTTTGACTATTTTAACCTGGGTTTAAAAAAACTTGGTTTGGGAATGACTTTTTGACTTTTGGCTTTTTTGAGTTTTTTGTGAGAGA